GTGAAGCCAGCATGACATACCTCAAACGCTCCTCCCCACTGCCCCGGCCAAGGCTGCATCCCAGGCCCCAGCCCCCACATTCTAGGTACCACCACGCAGTGCCCAGGACCACACAGCTTTCAAGGTCGCCCGCAGGTAGCCATCTGGCAGCGCAGCCCAGCTTTCGCGCAGTTCCTAGCAGCAGCAGGACCTGCAGATGGGCGTCCCAGGACGAGCAGCCAAGGTCAGCCAGCAGACAGGAGGGTGGGAGCATTAGCCTGGAAGTTGGTGCCTGTGTCCTCTCTGCCAGGGCACTTGAGGAAGAGCAAGTGGGAGAGGAGAGGTGACAGCAGGCTGCAGAAGAGACCCCAAATCACCCAGAATGCCCCATGGGAGAAAAGCCACAACCACCCCAGAGCTGGCCCAGCCTGACCTCTGTGCCTCTGGGCTCTACCTGGCCTCATGCTCACTCCTCACTTGGATGCTGTGTGTGTCTCTCCTTGCAACACAGCCCTGGCCGTCTGGCCGCCATGTGGGACTACTCTGGGGCAGGCTTTCCCCACCTAGCAAGCTGCCTATGTCCTCAGGACCTCAGTCCCCTTATCTACAGCATGGATTAACACCAGCTGTGCCCATTTCATTGCACTGAAGGCCAAACGCCTGCTGGCAATTCTCAAGGCAGGGAGCAGGGAGACTGTGCAAAAAACAAACACACAATCACACATGGCATTGTTCCATGTCCCCCACCCCCAAACCTCCATCCAGCCTCTACTTCTTTGCTGTCTCCAAACCCCTTCACAGCATGTCTCCCCAAGAGAGATGAAGGGGAAAAGTTCAGGTGGTCCCCTGGGTGCTAGCAGACAGTACCAGACCCTCTCTTTCATGGTTCGTGGCTCTGAGAGCTGGTCACTCCTTGGGAGGTGAAATGCAGCCCAATTAGTGAGCCCAGGGGACATCAGCGCTCCTGGGTCAATGCCACCCTGAAATACGATGTTGCCAGGTGAGCCCTGTGCGAACACCCAGTGTAGAAACAGGCTGCTTCAGGTGGGTGGACGAGAGTGGAGCTGAGAGTGGGGCCGGCACCACCCTGGGTACTGGGCTGCCAGGCTGGGATGCAGTCTTTAAGCCCCTTCCTTTCGAGGGTTTCTCTGGGTCCACGTTTAAACATACTTTCTGGGATGGAGTCAGGGCCAGATATGAAAGGATGATAACAAGGACAATTTATGTAGAATTTTTTGTGCCAGGCACCATGCCAACCCTTTATGTGCTCTGTCCATTTCATTTTCCCCTCATTTTACAGACAGAGAATTTTAAGTGCAGGCTCAAGGGTGAAGAAGATATTCAAGATGACCACCTAGCCCGCAAGTGGCATAGTGGAGCTGGGTCTTTTAGCTTCCAGAACAAGTTCTCACTGGGAAGATAGTACTAACCCATTAAGATGGGCCAGGAGATGAGCAGTTAATATGGTGGGGGGGGGGGGGGTCACGAGTCCCTATTTAAATTGGGAGAGGGGACCATTTCCAGCTTGAACCCTGAATCTCAAGTCCCTGAGCACTGGCCCAGGTAGTCGCTGTGCCTGGGATCTCAGTGCCCCCCGGGCCATCTGCAGAGAAGGCTGCATGGCCTGATGGAACAATTCAGGACACAGCCCCAGAGGCTTTTCAATTACATTAGCTTCTGGCATTGCTGGAGGAAGATGCTCTCCCTCCTGCCCCTCCCTTCTCCTTCCTGTCCTCCCTGGGAGATGGTGATTCAGCAGCAAGTCGGAAGCAGGCTAGACTGTGACCTTCCAGGAGTGGATCCACCGGCGGGGTGCATGCCATCAGTGCCCACTCAGGGCAAGAATTGCAGCTGGGAGGATGGGAGAGGGACCTGGAGTCGTTAGAGAACTAGACCCCTACAGAAGACACTGTCCACCCCAGGCCTGGGATGGCCAGCCGTGGGGAGTGGGCGTGCCAGGGGTGGGGAGCCATTTCCTCCCCAAACCCTGGTATGTGAGGGCTGGGGGAGTCCCAGCCACTGGATACCTAAGCTGCTTCTCAACGTATTCAGCAGCAAAAAATACGGACGGGGTTAGCTGAAAGGTGCCCAACCGGAAACCTCGGGGAGGTTTCCCATCAGGGCAGCCCCACCCACACAGACCGGAGGCCAGATGCCTGTGAGGATTCCAGGCCCGCCGCTCCCACCGTTCACTCTCAGCCCCCACTCCAGCACCTCTGCCTCTGCTGCAGCCTGGCCTGGCCTCGGCCGCTCCTGCAGGCGCTGCTCCCAGGGGACAGTGTTTGCACAGTTGTCTCAAGCCCCAGAGCCAGACCTGGCTTCTCAGCTCCCAGTCCCAGCCTCACCTACCAGTCGTGACCAAGTAAGTCGTGTAGTTTGCTAGGCTTTGCTGCCTCACCTGCAGTACCTGAGGCCACATCCCCTTAGGGGTGTCAGAGGTCTTGAAGGGTCAGGCTTGCACTCTAGCTGGCGGGCAGCTGGCCAGGACAAGCAGGCTGGGGGAGCTGTCTCAAAAGCCCTTTGGCAAGCACATTGTTTCTGGTGAGCATAAATGAGTCTTGGGGTGATGGGCCTTGTACATATGATGTGTGGGTGCCAGAGCACCCCTCAGCCCACTGCTGCCCACCTGTCAGAGTCGTAATGACAGGGCGAAGCTGAGTGCGCTGGGGCTGAGGCTCTTGGCCAGCACTGCTTCTCCTCCCTTGGAACCTCCAGGGGCGCTGGTTGGAGGTGCAGCGAAGCAGTAAGTTGGGGTGGACCCCACTCCTGAATTTCTAGCCAGCTCCCAGATGATCCTGTTGAATGGCCAGGCCTGGCACTCAGGCACTCAGCGACTGAGTTGTGTGCTCCCCTGACACACAAAAATGGTTCCCACTGGGGCTATTGACACATTCAAAGGGCATCAGCTATACAGCGGGGAGAAGGTGGCCATCGGTGTGAGGAAGCTCCTTCTCCGGCCTGGTGGGCGCAGGGAGGGGGCTTAGGTCCAGGAGTTTCTCCTGGTGGGCAGTGGAGAGAGGTGGTGCCGGGGAGGGCAGCTCCTCCCAGCCGGCCGTCCCGTTCCTGAGCAGGCCTCACTGCAGAAACAGCCTAAAATGAGGTCTGCGGGGCAGGACACAGCCACCTCATAAAGCTTCCTCCTCACTAGGAATCCACCACACGGTGGGGCTTCAAGCTCCTGAGCGGGCTCTCCCGCCTCCCTCCTGCCCCAGGAAGGCGAACATATCTTAGGCAGTCCTTTCGGGGGGGCCCCAGATGGGAAGACAGGGGCAAATGGGAGCCCTCCCACCTTCCTGAGGCCTTTCAGAAGGAAGAGATTCACCAGCTTCTCCTCTACACGCCATAGTTTTCGTTCCTTTTAATGGGCTTCTAGACCACTGGGCTTCCCCAGGCAGGGGACCTTCACATTGGATGAACCTGCTTCTTCACCATAAAAAGGGCATGATAAGGACCTCTCTGTTGGTGTGGATGTGAGGGCTGAAGGAGACGTGGAATACCTGGGTGCTCTTGCAGGAGGGCGGCAGAGTGAGACCATATCCAAAACCCTGGCCCTGGCGCCAGTGTCCCTACTCATTGGGTTCTGAGCCCAATGAGTAGTTCTGTGAAACTAAGGAGCTTGGGAAATGGAGCTTACTCTTGTCTGTGCAGGCAAACACCTTGGAGTGTCACAAACGCCCCCCAAACCCATACCACCCCCAAACATCCAGAATCAGAATTCAAGGGGTCTGTGTGGTTCAACCTGTCAACCTGCTGTCTGCTCTCAAGACTTGTTGCTGGCTGGCTACTGCGGTGACCAAAGGCAGGCACCTGGCAGACTGACCTGGGGGAAATGAAGGGTGTTTGCCTAGTCTCTAGCTGGATCCCCTGCCAGTCCCCCAGAGCAGCCCTGAGGACAGGAGAATGGGAGGGACTGGTGGGAGGGGCCAAGGGCAGGAGAAAGACTGGAGCTGGCTGAGGATGAGATCTGCAGGCTGATCTTGGGCCATCTGAGCAGATGGGCTCCTGTCTGCTTGGTGAGCCAGGGGAGGTGGGAGATACTACTAAGTGGCATGGCCATCCAACAGTTACTGTCAGGTGGCAGCGACAGGCTTTGAACCCCGGGGTCTACCATTCCTGGCTAATGCATTGCTACTGGCTCTCTGGGCTGTGTCCTCACCCTGACTGAACCTCCAGTTCTCCAGCCTGAGCCCCTAAGAGAAAAGGCTCCACTTTCAGCCTACAGCCAACATATAGCTATCAGTAGACCAGGCACAGGGGGATGCAGTGGGAGGAAACAGGCCACAG